GGCCAGTCCCATGATCATATTCGGAATCAGCATGGTCGATAACCTATAACCCACTAGATGTCGATCAAAAAGCTTTTAATCACCTCGAAAGGTTCCCTCGTAAGGGGATCCATTAAGCATACTCTGTAAACATAAATTGATTGCATATTCAAATGAACAGTTTTCTTGAGGCTCAATGCCACATAGTGACCGTAAATGTTTTATAGCATCAGTATCTGTTTCCTGTGTTGAAGTAACTGATTCATCAACTGATTTTCTCAAATATGGCCATAACCCTAAACAAGACTGTATTAAGTTCCTCATTTTTCAAGAAAGTCAATATCAACGATAAAAACTTGACAACCACGAGTAGTATATTAGTATTTGTTTACTTTTATATAATATTAAAAGTAAGAATAATTTGACGAATGCGACAGAATAAATGACAGTATCATTCATATACGTGTTTCCATGCAGATTCGCCCATCCTCTGCCCGATTTTAAAGCTGACAACATATCACTAAATGCATCCTGTCAAGTGGACTGTCGGGAGTTGTGCATAAATCTATATTTCTTTTTGATAGAAAAGTGAGTGTATCTTGGTGAAACAGCAGTCTTTAAAACTCAGTTTTTAGTGTAACACCTTTTTTACATTAACAAAACTTTAGAAATCAATAAGAAAATCTTTTCAAGAAGCTTATACTAGCACTTATAGAGTAAGGAATTCTCTTTCACATGAGACGTCTTCCAGCTTTATGGATGTTCAGCTGACGAGCTATCTTATTCTTAGTGATCAACAATATTCCTCTCTCTCTTTCTCTTTCATCCTTTTCGGTAAAGTTGTTAGGAAAGTTTTTGATATTAGCTTTTCGCAGAAACCAGCCTTCAGGGTCTCTATTCAATGGCTGTTAAAGAAAATGGGACCCGGGAGACTTTTTAGCACTATGATAATACTCTTCAAAGAAAAATGTATTTGAAAATCGATCGAACAGTTTTTACGGAAATTGGACTGAACGTTTCTCATTTTTAGAAATCAGACGACCTTGTAGCTCAAATAACTCATAATTGAGTGAAGGTATCAAGGTTAGCTATGCTCCCCTCTCTCATTTGACACCAAGCCAAGTCGGTCTAAAAGCTTTAGAATAATGTCATCCTTGATACTTACGCCACAAATACAAATCCGACACATGGCATAGCCGCGGTATTTTGAAAAAATTTTGTTTATGTAAAAACGATGTTACACTAAAATCTGAGTTTTAAAGACTGCTGTTTCACCAAGATACATTCACTTTTCTTTCAAAAAGAAATATAGATTTATGCACAACTCAACTGTAGTCACAGAATACATTTAGTACTATGATGCCGGCTTTAAAGTCGGGTAGAGAATGGGCGAACCTGTATGAAAATACGCTTATTCCAATAACAATGTGAAACTTCAAAACGGTAATGTATCCTTCAGCAAATTCAAATTTCTTATTAAATGCACAGACAGTCGGGATGGAATAAACGTGGAAAAAACAATTTTTAACGGTATATTCGTCCATTTTAAAGCTTCTTATTGTTAATCAAATGCGTTTCATTTTTAGATTAACTCAATGTATTTTATATAAACAATTATGCGGCAAATTTAACGAGATAAAACCAGTTACAATGTATCTGACGTACATGAGATAAACAGAAAATATAGATACTGCCATTTATTCTGTCATATCCTTTTCAATGAGTATACGAACTAACACGTAGTGATTTTTCTCTGGCAAATAAACAGAGATAGGTGCTTCGGCCATTCGTATTTGATGGTACAATCAAGCTGAACTATTTCAATATCGTAATGACGTGCTGATACTAGTACGGTAGTGTTTGATTGAGCATAAAATAGACAAATGCGACAATTAAATGATGTTGATAGATGATGTAATCTTTTTTAACATCTTTTTGGTTAGTTCCAGCAACTATAACCTACATATTTTTCCTTGAATAGTGCATCATATAAAAATATCGCTGATACAATTTCTTTCCATATGCACAACATCCAAATATCAAAACTACCAAATTCCAATCGTATACACAATTTTTCAAAATGTTGAACAATGCTAAATGAAAATAGAAGACGGTTGTAATTTGAACTTACGTAACTTCTAAACATTTCAAATTCAACCTTTTCATCCAAATGTTTGCTTTTACGTAACTTCCCGATGAACTGTTGCTCGTAAGACTAACTTGAAATAATCGATGAACTATATTTAATAAATACATACTAACATTTTCATTTTGATTTGGTAAATTCTTAAATTAAAATATTTTTTAACTTAATCTAACCGCGATTTGATAAAAAAATGGGATTTTATACCCAAATCGTTTATTCACAAGTTTATAGTTTTTCGCAACTATGTTTCTAAGTTTTCAACTCCATTAGTGTCTTACTTTGAGTGTCCAAAAGGCAAACTGTAACCATTCTAAATCACTGTGATGATAATTAAAATCGCACGCGTTCTTTATAATTTTAACAATTTTATTCCATTCGTCATCAATTAATAATTGGGTTATGTAATGTTGACGTAAAAATGGATTGTCTGGTTCATCTTTCTGTAGAAAGAAGAAGTAGTCGTTATTCCAATGACGATGCGCGAGCATACCAGTCTATCTTCAAGGTAAAACGCATTTCGTTCACGAAAAGTCGATATGAGCATAATAATCTCAAAAGAAAATGATATATACACAACTATAGATGATCGCTACAAGAAATAGCATATAGTAACGTCCAAACCTGAAATTCTTGCGATCACTCTGCGACAATAGTGGTCATGTGATCTGAAATAAGGGAAAATGAGGACTAAATCAAGCTTACTAGGACTTTGTGAAGAAAGGACGGAGCGTATTTGAACGAGAATCGGTCCACTCGTATTTTTCCACTTCAACCGAATTTATTAGAAAATTCATGTTTCTATTATTCTCTGTCATTCCTGGGCGAAAAAAATTAAAAAAAGAGCGAAAAAAAAGGTTTCTTTTCACCATCATCCTCTTGCTGTCCCACTAATTAGATGGGACAGCAAGTGGATGATGGTTTTTTTATTTTTTTCGCACAGGAATGACAGAGAATAATAGAAACGTGAATTTTCTAATAAATTCGGTTGAAGTGGAAAAATACGAGTGGACCGATTCTCGTTCCAATGCATCCCCGTCCTTTCTCCAGATATACTCATACTTTTTTTAACAAAACACATTTTTGTATACGTACTTTAAATGATGCAACAATTTGATGGTGTTAGTTGGTAGAAAATATCGAATAATCCATACGCACGAACGTCTACGGCTATCAGATCAAACAAATACTTGCATAGAAGTTTTAAATAGGTAAGAAACTGACTTCAAGTTTTGAAAATTTCATAACTATACGATTACATATCTGTTAGTCGTAAATATTCATGTGCATGAATAACTCAATATTTTCTACAAACTAGCACCATCAAAAATGCACATCAAAATTTTGGATCATAAGATCTAAAATCGCTCAAAGAAAGATGTATCAGTCGAAATCGCTATCAAATTATTAACTAGCATCATGTAAATTATCCATACAAAAACTGAAAAAGTGTTGTTAGAAAAGTATAAGCACGTCTAGGAAACTTCAATCGTTAATTTCTAAGTTTTAAATTTTAAGTTTTTATACTCACAGAAGAAGAGTTTTTGCTACACTCAAACACTATCGTAATTAACCAGTTGCAATTACATCTCTCTCTTTTGTTCTTTGCACTACAATTGTTAACGAGGCGCGCAGTAACCAAAGCCTATGTCGTGTCACAGACATTGCATAACATGATTAAAGTGAACGAGAATGTTTCTCTGCGTTTTCTAGTACTGCGATAAATAATAAAATAGTCTTGTTGTGAGATTTACCGTTCTATCTTTCCTCGTAAGTAAACTTACGACTACTTGTCCAAGTACTTCAGCAGGTTTCCTCTGATGTTCCTGAGATTTTTCGCAAGTGAATCAACTACTTAAATTATTTTACCCTCTTTTCAAGCACTTGCTCAAATAATCCACGAGTACCTGGAGATCTAACAAGTAAATCAAGTATCCGACAAATACGTTCATATACTTTGACAAGTAATTATCTAGTACCATTCTAAAGAAATGCTTACTAAGTATTTATTAAGTATTTACAGAAATTTATAAATAAGTACTTACTTGCAAGCACATACACTAGGTTATCTATGAATAAATGAATTCTTTTAGGAGTAAAAAAAAGGTCCGCTTTCTTTTGCATGTTGAAGCATCACATAACTTGTGAAAAGATGGATCAAAACCAAACTATTCAAGGTAGTTAAAAATAACATATGACATAGTTTAATCGAAATTAGGATATCAGTGGATTCATGATTTTTCCAATATACTAGGGACCTCTAGCAATACCATTTTTAACTCTTTGTTATTCTATAATTGCAGTATGTATCGTATTTTTGAGATATTAATAAGATAAGCTTTTTGGGATACTTCCTCCTCTTATATTAAAGCGGCCACAAGTAAGGTTGTGATTGGAACGAGACATCTCCGAATAAAATTAAATACAATTCAGTGTTCTTTTGACATGCAATCTCTTTTGTATATGCCTATATGTCTATATATATATATACAATATACACAATATATATGTAACCTACATACATATAATGTTTATTCTCTATAGTACAGACTATAGCTTATTTTAGTTATAATTTCTTGTTGGAATGGAGTAGAATGCTGGCGGAGTGAGATTGATGTATCCGATTACTGGATGTCAATAAACTTTTTAACAATGCATCTTTCTCATAAAAATAAAATAAATAATAAATTCTTTTCTACTGATTCCAGTTTCCACAGCAAAGGTTAGTCTACTTGTGGAGTTTACTCATTTGTCCAACGTGCAATTTAGTGATATATTTCCGGCTTTTATGAAAGACAGTTTCACAAACAAAATTATCTTTCTAATTTTTGTTCATCGACCTTTGAAGAGTCGATTTTCTTTTATTTTTTTTTAGATTTTATCTTTGTGTAATTATATCAGCGTATTTGTCCACCAACTTGCTTCATTACTAGAAAAAGAAATGTAAGATCGATTTTGTTTACCTTTTAACCTAAAATGATTGTATCATATGATTTTTAGGAAGCGTCTACGTGAAAATGATCCACTTGAAGAATCAATATCCAAACGAAGTTTGTCAAATGGATCTAGGTAGATTTCTTTGAATAACGAAGCTTAGAAAAAATATCACTTTTTTCTTTAATTTCAGTTGTCCAGCACAACAATTAACAGACTATGCCGAATATTCTCCACCTAATTCATTATCCTCCTCGTCTTCCTGTTCATCTCATTCAATAACGCAATCAACAACCACAAAAGACGGTCATATTGAGAACTCATCATGTTCACAGTCAGATCACTTAACAACAATTGTTCCACCAAGTTCATCGTCAATTCAACAACTTTGTCTTTGTCGGTTTTCTCATCAACATAATCCAGATTGTGTTATTCACAATAATCCTTCACCACCTCAAGAACTTACTCACAATGATAATCCATCTTATTATGAAAAAAATTTATTATTATATTATGCACATTTGGCACGAGTTAAACGACATGGAACAAATATACACAGTCATCAACAATCATCATAGGCATGCATCAATTCCATTTAATTGGAACTTTTGCATGTGTTTTTTCTTCCTTGTAAGTTATTTTGAGTTGCAAATTGAGCCAGATGAATATAGTAAAGTATGAATAATGTAAATAATCGAATCGGTTTCTCTTTTTATTCTCTTTCACGTACTACTCTATTACTGGTGTCGGGTTTATTTTTCTGTTCTTTTGGCTATTGTTGTTGTTGTTTATAAAACAGATGAAAAATTATTTTAGAGATAAACTTTTTAAAAAAAATAACTATAAACAAGTAACTTGATCGTTTTTCTTTTACCATTGTTGTTTTCTAGAACAATGTGCATTTAGTCGGAAAAACTGTTTTATGCATTTGGACAATCTTTTTTATTAAAATGTTGAAAGTGTTACTGTTCAATGTTAGATATTTAATGCAAAATTGTGATAATCATTAGTAAAGAATTTGACTTTATTCGTCGAATGGGTCAACACATCAATGACAGCAAATATTAACCAGATATTCTTACACAATTGTGAGATTCATGATGAAAAACGTTCTAAGAGATACATGGACTGCCATTGATATCATCACCTTTGAAGATGTCAAGGTGTCATCTTGAGAGGTTTTACCAACGTTTTATGCAATAAAAAGCAAGTACCATTTTAAAGGGCATTGTTAGTTGCTGTTTGTACAGATAACAGACTAGTAGAGATCATCTTTTTTTCTAGTATAAATCATCAGTCATTTTTGAAAAATAGATATCAATACGAAGTTAGATAAGGTTTTATAATTTAAATAAATAAATACTTTTTCTTCGTGCTAACTTTATTTATTTCGAAACGTTTCGATAGATAGTTCAATCTTGCTCAGTGGATCTGGAAAGTATATATCTTACAATACTATATAATATATTCAATGTTGTCTATATTATTAATCAGTTTAATTAATACTTCTTTCCACTGAGCAAGAGCAATTGAAACGTTTCGAAATAAATAAAGTTAGTACG